CTACTACTACTACTACTACGCTACTGCTACTGCTATACTCCTATACTGCTATACTGCTATACTGCTATACTGCTATACTGCTACTGCTACCACCACTACAACGAGCGGGCCAACCGGCAACACCACTGGTAAAGTGCGGTAGTAGCAGGATTTGCAGCAAAAGCAGCTCAAGAAACAACAAGCCATGTCGTTCATAGGCAGGAGGAGGAGGAGCTCCAGGAGGAGGAGCAGCCTTGGTATCACCAGCACTAACGTCAGCATCACGTGCACTTGCTTGGGTTCCAAGTCTAGGCCCTTTGACGAACATCATTGGAGGATTCTACTCAGGTAAGTGCCGACCACCACATCCGATCCAGTGTGCCCAAGGAATTTCGACCTGTTCTCGGCTTTCAGCGAGGCACAGCGTGGCAGACCGCAGCACCAAAGACGGAATTGCTACGACCCACCCAGCCAAACAAACTAACCGTAAAAAAGGCCGAAACCCTGAACCCCTAAACCCTAAACGAGGCAAAAAAGAAACTAAACCCTAAACCAACACCCTAAACCCTAAACCCTGGAACAGAATCAAGATCACCGGATGCGGATTTTGCCCCGAACAGGGCTCCCAACCTCAAAGAGTCGAGGGCAAGGGGCCTATCATTCTAAAGTATACTCTGGTGCTCTGGACTATGGTTAGGGTTTAGGGTTTAGGCAGTGTGGGCTGCCAGTCCGGTCGAGATCTGACAACGCCGTTGCAAAAGGGTTTAGGGAGTACTATTCCCTACAGTTTCCCACGGGATTGCAGGATTTCGTCAGGGAGTGTAGCTTGGGCCATGAAGGTCTGGTTCAGGCCTGGCCTATGGTCTCCACTGTTGTAGCTTCACCAGGACATGCTGAGCCCTAGGCCCGAAAACGAGGACGGAACCAGGCAAATAAACAAAGGAACCGCACCGCACTGTACTGCATTGGAGAGTAGAGATAGGGGGCTTAGAATCTAGAGCTTAATAAGACAGTAGACGTTAGGGCACAAGGCTATGGGTGGTTAAGTTTTGGGTTTAGGCTGTAAGGCGGTTTTAGCGTTGTTGAGAACCCCGGGTTCAATACGAAGCTTACAGTTTTCGGCTGCAGGGTTGCAAGGGTTTAGGGTTTAGGCTTTAGGCTTTTGGAGGATGAGTTGCAGGGTTTGGGGCTTGCTCTAGGCCTCAGCTCCCAGCCAGAGGCTTGGCTTCTGGCTGCACGGCCTACTTCTCGTGGGTTGGGTAGGTAAACGTCTAACCCGTATAGGTGTACATATCACTGCTACAATCAACAGAGCAAGGTCACTCAGCTTCTAAGCCCTAAGCAATTTCGCAACACCCCTCACCCTCAACACAGCTTGTTCAGCTGCCGTTCTCCCTCCTCTCTCGGTTGAAAGAAAACCCACAGAAGAGCATTATGGTTACAGCAATAGTGTCATATGTATATACACACAGACCTCTGTATACCTGTGTATATATATATACACATACATACATAGCAACAGAACACACACACACACATATATATATATATATATGTTAACTGTTGTCCACATCTATGCGTAAACATATCACATATATGTATACACACATGCTTA